TAGCATGAGAATATGGACCCCAAAGATCAACATGTATAAGCTGAAAACATGAAGTTGAAGTTGTATTACTAACAGGAAAAACAAGTCTTTGCTGCTTAGCAATAGGATAGATCTCACAGCAAAACTCTTTTGTTACATCAACTTCTAAGAGATTACTAAGCTGTTTTATTACTGAAATAGAAGGATGACCTAATTTTTGGTGCCACTGTACACTCAAAGCAACTGATATTGGATTACAAGCAGGATTTACAATGTTGAAAAACAAATGGAAGAATGTAGTAGTATGCGTGGCAAATGAAGCTGGACTTGCTTCTTTATTTCTTGAGGATAGAAAGATGCTGGAGTAAGAACATAAAGTCCTTGAAAAAAAAGGTGCCAAGTCCAATGATTTCATCAGTCTTGAGGTCCTGCGTTATACACAATTCAGCAGAAAATGTGAAATACAAATTTGCTGATTGTGCTAATGACCTGACTGAAATGAGATTATACTTAAATGTTGGCACATAAAGGACATTAGAAAGGATGATTCTAGGGTTGATTTCAACTGATCCTATTTGTTTGACTTGTTGAATACTACCATCTGGTAATATGATTGGAGTGGATGTTTCTACAGGTTTAGGATTTTTAAAAAGGGAAAGATTATGAGACATACTCCCAATTGCACCTATATCAAGGAACCACAAATGCACTAATACATCAAACAAATTCTTCAGTTTAGGGATAACAGTGCTACCTACAAAGTCACCAAGATGAGCAAAACTGGCAAACTGAGTAGCAGGAGTTGTTGGTCCCTTTCCTTTAAGCAATTTGCTGAGCTCCTGTTGCAACTGATTCAACTGCAAAGCCATAATATTCAGATCACGTGATGAAGATTCTGCAACATCCATGGGAGTTTCTAGAGCAGCCACATGTGCATAATTCCTAGAACCTTGTGAAGTAGAACTTCTGATCCCCGTTTGTGCATTCTTCTTTTCAATCAACCACTTAGGAAGACCATTGATCTTAAAACAGGTGCCTATTTCATGACCATGCTTCTAACAGTGAGTACCGTATCTAGTGGTATCCAATGGTTTCCTTCTTTTGAATGAATTCTGTGACTTAGCAAGAAGTGCTGAATTCTCATTCACTTCATGAACAGTTGAACTACTCATTCCTTGAGGTTGTACCTTAGTCAATAGAGCAGAGTTATCCACAATGTGTAGCTCAGTACCACCAGTTACTCTCTTTTCTGCTTTATTCAGCATATTATACGCCTTATTCACCAATGGAGGTCGATATCATCAGGATTTGATCCTTTTTAGTCTCATAGCATTTATTCAGCCCCATAAGAAACTCTATTAGTTTATCCTCATTATCTCTGGCCTCCAAAACCTTAGCAATATCAGGCGGACACACCGGGAAAGGCCTGTAATGAGAGTACTCATCCCAGCTACGTTTCAGAGAACTGTAGTATTTTACAAGTGACATATCACCTTGTACAATTGCTATACGTTCTTGCCTCATCCTGTATAGAGTTTGACTGCTTGAGGTACCATACTCTTCAGCAAGATTCTCCCACAATTCTTGAGCAAAGAGATTGTGCATATAGCTGTCAAAAACATCTTGACTTAGTGCAGCAATTATCCATGATTTTACCGTGGAATCGACTCGTTTGCACTGATGAAAATCCGGTGATGTAGGCGGTGGACTAACATAAGACCGTCTATGAATCCTACCTTCATCTTGGACTCAAGAACTGTTCTCATTGAACGACTCCATACCAGATAGTTCGATTCAATAAGAGGAGCAGATACGAGCATCATACCAGGGTGTTCGGAAGCGTGAAGAGTCAAATTATCATCTTGAGCTCTCCAATTGACATTGCCACGATTCTGTTCAGCACCACGATCTTCACCAAACTCTTAATCTGCCATGATTACAAACAGAAAACACTAAAATGAAACGGTAAGAATCGGAACAACGATTTACAGTTGCTATTCCACAGTATCGAGCCTATGGCTCTGATACCATGAAAAGTTTGGCTAGAGTTTCAAGAGTCGACGACATGAAATCAGAGAAGAAGAAATCAATTTGGGGAAATTTTATGTCTGTGTATTATTCAGTGTAGAATATGTGTTATACAAGTGTATATATACAATTATACACAACTAACCTAAACTAATTAACCGCCTCAATAAATATGTCTAAGTCAACTGAAGTCAATCTGTACAACATTCAGTCCTATATTTACAAATTATTATAATTAGATCCCTATATATGTACAATCTTTACAAACAGGTCCTTATTCAGTCTCCTGGATCATAAACTGAAGTTTGATCTTATGTTGGTGGCAGCATCTTGCTCCTGAAATCCTTGAATATATAATACAACAATATGTCTATCTCAGTTCATAAATAACTGAAACTTCTAAATTGTCAATCTTACAACCACTCTACCACCGAACCGATCCACAAAGATCCATGTTCTTCTTCTGCATGGATGGTGACCTCCACCTTACTCCTATCTTTCTTGTAACACTTCGCAAATTCTTCCATTTTGATCCAAACTTGTAGCCATACCCAATCCATTAAAATACGTTGCTCCTCTTGAATTCATGCTAACCCAAAATTTTATCCGATAATTCTTTTGTTCTACCTCTTCAAATGATTGTCAAATTTTTATGTTAGTTTTAGAACAAAAAATAGAGTAATAGGTGCAAGAAACAAGATTTCAATGTAGCTGCTACAACAGCAAGATTTCAACTGATGCATTATTCAAAATACAAGGCATAATAAGTACTTGATAATGACCTATGCACAAGAGATTCTAATATTTTCCATGAAGATACACTTACAAGCTTGCTATCCTGCTGTTTTAGAACACAATTACAATTATTAATTAAATTATGAGGCATCTAGGGGTGTTGGGGGGTTAAGTGGCTAATACCGGGCGGATTTCAGCAAGTTTGCATATACAAGTTTGTCCAAAGTGGTTTTGATTCGGAAATAACATGCTTTACGTCCATTGTATCTTTGTTTCATGATTTTTTGAACTAATCAGGTCTCCAATAGTCCCAAATAAAATAGAATTTCACAAGCTCAATATGCGACCCAATATAGTTGCTTTTATTTAATTGAACCAGGTAGAAATAGCTAGTCTATAAATATACCTGGACGGCCATTGTTTTTTTTTTTTTTTTCACAACAAGAGACAAACACAAGCTATAGCAATATATGCATGTTTAAAGAAAAGTCATCACTAAATTATTGTACCAAAAAAAAAGTCATCAATAAATTAGGATTGATATGACTACATGCATTTAAACTCTTGATGATTATTTCGAACTCAAGAGCCTCCTTGTAGTGGGCCCAAATGGTAGCCTTGCTTTACCAGTGGCAACTTCAGTTCAAGGGAGTCCCTTTGGATTCACAATTGATGTGGTTGTGGATCAAACTACTGGATTAGTTTATTTCACTGAAACTAGCACGAGATTTCAAAGAAAAGACTATTCAAAGTGTTATCTCTTCTAGAGACCGTACCGGAAGACTATTAATCCGAAAACAAAGGTGGCAAATGTTCTCGCCAACGGACTCATGTTCCCGAATGGAGTAGCGATTAGCCAACGAGTGATTTCTTATTAGTGACAGAGGCTAAAAATGGTAGAGAGATATTGGCTCCCGTCTTGTAGGATTGAGGTTTTTACTCAACTTTCGGAAAAATATCAGGAAGAACAAAAATAGAGAATTTTGGGTCGCGATGAATTCAAGAGGGACCGCGTATTTCAATGGGGATTGGGCGTAGTTGCAAGAATTAGATCAAAATGGAAGAAATCTTGAAGTGTTACGAGATAGATCAGAGCAATGTGGAGGTAAAGTCATGCAAAGGAAGAACGTCGATTTTTGTGGATCGGCTCGGTGGAGTAGTCTTCGGTTGTTATAAAGATTGACAATTTAATAAGAAGTTCAATTTATTTTGTGAACTTAGATATCTATATTTTCTTTTTCGGTGTTACGGTTGTTTTTTCTTTTAAATTTATCACATTTTCTTAGTATGCTCTCAATTAGTGATGCTAATTAAGAAAATTAATGTTAGCCAATCTACTTTATTTTTATGTTGTTCTCTATAAATTACGAAACAAACTATTTAATTCAGAAATTTGATTTCGTCCTGACTTATTTTCAGAATCAAAATTGGTCTTCATTCAAGATTCTCGGTGTACGTGTTGTGTGTTGCGATTGGGAAAAACCAGGAGGATCTACAGCAGTCTAGTACTATACATATGTACCCAAAAGGAAAGAAAATAACATAAGTACGTTATCTTCATCACCATATGTATTATACAACTCAATCGCTTACGTTTGTGATATATGCCACGAATTCGATGCGTCCAGCCAAAACCTATTTGATCGCATTCTTTTGGCTCAGAAAACCCAACTGTCCTACCTTATTTTCTTGGTGGTGTGGTCCTGGTGTCTAAATTGAGGAGGGGAAATGTTTGTCTGTTATTAACCACCTACACTATTTTATAAGGAGATTCCAATTGATCCCTCTTGTATCTTCAATGTATTGCATGTTAGTTGAATATCATCATATCTTAACAAGAGCATCTACAATTGTAATTTTTTCTCCGAATCTTCCTAAAACCAACCATGGAAGAGACTTATGGTTGTTTCATAATTGAAAAATTTTGCAACCATTCTGTCTCTCTATTATGGGTTGGTAGCTGGTACTGGTAAATTTCTAATAACATAAATGAAAGTGTGGTATTTATATTTTAATAGGAAAAAAATCGGTAGATAGCTAGCCTACAGGTCATTTTACCTCAAAGAAATAACTCAAAGAAAAAAAAAATAACTCAAAGACGTTACCATTTCCGGTTAATTCCATCATCAATTTAAAAAGGAGGGACATTATATTGATTAATTAACCACGTCATGATTAGAATGATAATGACAAAGATGAACATCTATTGTATTAAAAGTGAATCATGAATAAGACGCACAATAAAATACAATTCATGTGGGATAGTAATGCATTGCAAGGTGATATCTACAAAAGAACAAATTCGTGGGGGCAAGATTGGCATTCACCACAATATGTTGTGATGAGCAAAGCCTCAAAGACCAAATTAAGTTAATGTTATTTATGATGTTGCATTACCTTTGGACTTTTGTGGAAAACACTTCCCAACTAATACACAAACTCACCAAAAACGCCATCACCAAAGATGTCATCATTTTATCAAACATAGCACATCCCCATACTCCATTCCCACTTCTTCCTCCTTTGAAGAAATTCTTTGTGTGTGTGTGTGTGTGCGTTTTTTTCTTTTCCGGCCTTTTTTTTTTTCCTTCGCGCCCTTTAAATAAGTTGATTAAAACCCATGATGATAAGCTATAAGCTATTTCTTGCTGCGGCAAAAGTTCTTGTTTTGGCAACTCTAGCTTCGGTTGCCAAAATCAAATTTGATAACAAGAAAACAGTAGAGATGAACGAAAGCCGGCCTGAAATTTTACCGATTCCCGGTGCATTCGGGCCGGAGAGCTTTGCGTTCGACGGGGAAGGTGGCGGGCCTTACACAGGAGTTTCCGATGGCCGGATAATCAAGTGGCTGGGAAATGAGAGCCGGTGGACCGATTTCGCCGTAACATCTCCGAACAGGTTCCGATCATTCTCCACCCCTCTTATGTGCTTTCTGCATGATCAATGTATTCATGTTGTATCCATAAATTTTAATTATTAAAAAAAAATAACACTTGGTGAAATGAAATGATGTTAGAGAAAATCTATAATGAATATGCATCATCGGTTGAACAGAATCGGTTAGATTTATCTTTAGATTAATAGCATTGAAATTGAATGAATGCTATTTATTGTATGTACGTGTCTGGGATGGACAAATTTAGAAGTATTTCTTAATTGCTAGATGGGGATTGGGAAGTTGGCTAGGTGGAGCTTCATGGAGAAGAGTGTGATTTTGTCTAAACCTAGTTGGCGAAATATGGTCAATTTCTCGGGGGAAAAAATATTTGTAGTAACTTTTAGTTATCTTTAGTCTTTTCAGGAGTTTGGCTAGCTAACACAAAATTAAATACTCAATTATTTTATTTTATTTTAATTTGACTAAGAAGATATTTGAACTCTAAGACCACAATAGTAATTATTGTCACCTTCAAATTGTACATCACATATGCTTTAATTGCCATATTAAACATTACATTATTTTCATAGTACTCTCTCTGGCCCAAAATTATTGTCCAGTTTGAAATTTCACTTCTAATATATTTTGTACTAAAAGTGAAAACTCAAACTGAACAATAATTATGGAACAGAGAGAGTATTATTTTCAGCCAACAGATGGATGTATCGTGTATGTTAAAAAAGTTTTGGGGTCAATTGGTGTCACCATCAATCAAATTAACAGGGTCATATTCTGAGTAAATAAAAATTGTTTGCATTGGCTACACCAGTCCATTTCGACGTGATTACACATTTTTGGAACAAGGAAGAACGAAAAAATGGAAGTTTGATTTTGATTGAAAGAAATCAAATTTATTTAATTCATTAAACATGATATTGCGAAAATTGTGGGTGTAACACGTAATAATTTTCTTATGCGTTTGGTCCCAACTCCCTAGTTTAACGACACAGCTAGCTGTTAAAAAACGAATCGGAACAGCATCTATGTTTAAATAGTAGTCTACTTTTCAGAATTAGGATAGTAAAGTATAGTACTTTTTTTTTTTTTTTTTTTTGGAAATAGAGAGATAATTACTTCTCAGATTTGTTATTTTTAAGAAGAACAAAATTTCGTTATCATTCGAAAAACTGCACGAAATGAGAAACGAAAACATCAATAAAATTGAGGGTATAGCTAAAACGCCCTAACTACACCGGGGATAGCTTTTTCGTTTACGATGTTTATGAATGTGATAGATTTTCATTCTTACTCATTTTTTTGGCTCATACCAGATATTTGAATTTCTGACTGAGGCTTGGTCTGAAGTTTTGGAAGTGATAAAATTTGATGACCAACAAAGTACAAGACTTGCTTAATTCGATAAGTTTTAAGCATTACTAAGTATCACCCTAGTATCGCTTAATTTCATCAATAAAATCGAAGATGCTCGCTAAGTATCACCCTAGTTCTACTGAAAAATAGGACTTATTCAACTGTCAAATCTGCCTCCAAAAGATAGTCAAGAAATACTTTACATGTAAGTTTACTAAGATTTTTCAGGTAAACGTTAAGAAATCTCCATTTGTTGTTTATTAGAGAGTATATTTTTCCATCCTATAATGATATTCTTGCCTTAATGACGTAAGGATTCTTTGTTTTTATTTACACATCAATTTGTTTGAGCTACTGTTGCAATGGAAAAACAAAAACAAAAACAAAAAACAGAAGTACAATTCAGTAGAAACGAAACCAATTTGGAGATTATTCGTTTTGGCGGATTAGAGTTTAGGAATAAGACCATATTTGGATCCTCTTTTCACTTGGTTTTTTCACCTTATATTTGGATTTTTTGTTAACATATTTTTCTTACATTTATGACCATTTTTTATATTTCCAAAAAGAAAAAAACGTAGTGAAAAATCATTCAAAACAATATGTAAATATACATATGTGCATAGAATTGTTAATGAAAGATATTTACTTTCTATGTCTGTTGTAATAGTTTAATTTGTTAGATTTAGAGAACACAACAAAATGTAATTGAATTAGGATCGGCGTAACAAACAACCATACTGTTTCAGTTACAGAACAAATTGTACATATTTTTTAATAAAATTGTGCCAAATATTGAATCCTTTTTTCTTTCCCTCAAATTTATGGGAAATGTAGTTATTATGGGCTGAAACTCACATTAATCTTGCTCAAACAGAATTTATTGTGAAGGATCGAATGATCATGTTAAGACAGAGCCCAAATGTGGAAGACCATTAGGCCTATACTTCAGCTACAAAAGTGGTGATCTTTACATTGCTGATGCATATTTGGGCCTTATGGTAGTAGGCCGAGATGGTGGATTTGCAAAACCTCTAGCCCAGAAAGCCCAAGGAATTCCTTTCAAATTCACCAATGGTGTAGATGTTGATCAAAAGAGTGGGGTGATATATTTTACTGATAGCAGTAAAATCTCTCAAAGAAGGTAAAAATAAAAGTTTCTGAACTTCCATCTCTCCATAACATTTTTTGAATTTGACTTTATGTGATCTCTATCTCTATGATTTTGTATAATTTCAGCTAACATCTAAGGATTAGCAGTCGATCCTATGTCAATGTTAATTATAAAATGGATTATAAGCAGTCCTGTGTTAATGTTAATTATAAAAATTTATCAAAAAAAAATTAATTCTATCTGTTTTAGAAAAATAATCCATTTTGGACATTTAGTGTACTATTTTAATTCAACAAGACATATTATTTTAATAGGGATAGGGAGAATACAATATACAAGAGGATCATTTTGGAATAGTGATTGTATTTATGTTGTTAGGATAATAATGTAGCAATTGAAACTTCAGCTGAATTCTTGCTAATTAATCCAAAAGCATAATAAATCATGTCGTTATTTATTTATTTTTGGGAATCGTTAGTACTCCTTTCCGGATTTTTTTCAAGTCAAATTAAAGCCCATACTCTTTTCCTAAGAAAAATCTGGTGTGCCAAACTAATCCAAAGATTGATAAATCCAAACAAATGAAACGTTTTTTTTTTAAAATTAAGGTATGAAAAATTAAGCACTAATTAAATTCTTGGGTCCCATAAATTAGTCGTTAAAAAAAAAAAGGTTTTAATTTGTTCATTTTCTTCACACAAAATGATTTGGCAAGGGATACTGTTCCGTTTAGGATATGGTCCAAAATTGCAGAACCCCATGACCAGACCATGACGAATACTCCCATTACACTTCTTATCCCATATTTGCATACATGTCATTCTTACCCTTTCGCCCTAATTGGATTTTGTTGGGCGTGCCAAAAAAAAAAAAAAAAAGAACTCCGATCTTACTATTTTAGTATATAAATAAAACTAATTTAAAATTGTGATTTATACCGATGGAAGTACTTCTCAAACAACCCAAACCAAATTATGCTTTCTACCGAAAAGAGTAATATATACAGTAGGTTGAAGATTGAATGTGCATGGTAGATTGGTTCTATATACTTCTTCAATCACAGACAAAATATAATTATGAATTGTACTAAATTTATAATTCAAACTATTTGTGAGACAAAAAGAAGTATTTGAATTTTCATCTTGAGAACATTGTAACAGATTATTAAGAGAATTCAGAAATGATTGTCCATGCATTTTCAGTCCAATTTTCTGTTTCGGAATGATTCTTAGTTTTGGATTTTAATTTTTACTTTTAAGTTGTACTAATACTAAAAAATCAAATTCACGTAGAACAATTATTTTGTCGGGATTTATCAATTATTCTGATGGAGTTTATGTCAGTCCGGATTTGGTTTTTTTTATTGTAATGTTTTAATTCAATTAAGTGGGATAACCCACCCTCAGTATAGATCTCGGATTGATTCTTTACTGAGTGAATTTAGTGTGTCAATGGAACCGAGTCCGTTGGTCGAGTCTGAATTTGATGTGTGCTGTTCGTCGTTCATGACGATAAATTTGTGTTTCAGTCTGCGGATTAGTGATATATTCGAGTTCAGAATTTTATTCTGTTCCGTGATATGCCCGACAATAAAATTATGTCGTTATAGGATTATTTTTCCTTTTGGCAGTTTTTTTGGTCTAGTCACTGGTGCAGTGATTAGTACCGTGAATATGTCGTTAGGATGGTTCGAGTACGTCATTTTGAACGGTCTGTTCTTGTATCAAATGGTGCTGGACCATTTTTAGTAATTTTAATGGAGTATGTTTTCCTTAAAAAAAAAAAAAAAAAAGCTCGGAGTTACTAATCTTTTGGTAATTAAATTATCCAATTCTATGTATACGTCCCCAAAGAGAAGAATTGGTACGTACAAGCACATAGGATATTTTTGCTACCCTGATCAGGATGATGACCCATTAATTTTATCAACAACCTTGGAAAGAGTTAAAAACCTTAAAAATGATCAGCGTAAGGTTCGGAGCCCTCATTTGTCACCTCTCGTAACGTGGAGATAAAGTTCAACCGTATATAATATAGAACTACTCCCTCTGTCTTATAATTATTGTTCATTTTAAGTTTTCAGTTCTAATTCAAAATATACTAAAAGTGAAATCTCAAATTAAACAATAATTTCGGAACAGAGGAAGTAATTACTTATATATTTCACAGATCTATTTTCTTTTGGGGGGAATAAATCTTTCATTAAATTCACTCAAGCATGCATGTATGCTTTGGATGGCCAAGAATTCTGTCATCAGCACGGAGCTTTCTAGAAGGTTGAATCCAGCACTTTTCTTATTACACTTTTTATATATTCTGACACCTATTTTCTTATGTTAGCACTTACTTGTAACTAAAATCTTTCAAAAAATTGTTAAAAAATAAAAATTGTTACTAAATTAATGAATCTTGATATAGGAAAATGAATCTACACGCGTCAAACGATTACATAAATTTTTTTATAAGAAAAAGTCGTACATAATCAGAAATTTGACCATTTTTTCATGTCGATTATACATCACATTTCGAGGACTTTTCTTTGGCAGGGATTACGTTTCTGTAATTCTCGGAGGTGACAACACAGGAAGGTTACTAAAATTCGATCCCAGAACAAGTGAAGTAACAGTTCTTCTGGACAAACTCATGTTTCCAAACGGGGTGGCATTGAGCAAAAGAGGTGATTTTCTCCTCGTGGCAGAGACAACAACTTGCAGGATACTAAAATTCTGGTTAAATCAACCGAAGGGTTCAACCCAAGTTGAAGTAATTGCGGAGCTTCCAGGATTTCCAGATAATATCAAAAGGAATCGAGATGGTGATTTCTGGGTGGCCATTCATTCACCAAGAGGCAGACTTTTGAACTGGATTCTCTCTCGTTCTTGGTTAGGGAATTTTCTCACCACAAAATTCCCTTTTGATTTGACAAGAGCACACTCAATGTTAGCTGATTATTTGAGAATTGGGAGTGGTTTGGGTGTGAAAATCTCAGAAAATGGTGATGTGTTGGAAACGATAGAGGATAGAAAAGGAGAGATTTGGAAGTATAGTAGTGAAGTGGTTGAAGATGGAAATGGACATTTGTGGGTTGGTTCTGTGAAATTCCCTTATGCTGTCAGGTTAAAAAGATCTAGTTAATGCGTATAAATTGGAACGATTGACCTTTTTTTTATGTTCGTAAATTAGTAATGCATTGAGAAAAGGAACAATTGCGACGGAAAAGAATATATTTACAGCATGAGCGATCCTATATATGTTGACAAAATATATATCATCATACGTAATGGTAATATATTGGGAATTTGGGATAAAGAATCCTTTGCTGACAATATAGATTTCTGGAAAATTATAAAGGGAAAATGAGAATTCATTTTGTTTTCTTTAAATTTGATGTGAGGTTGAATTGCACAAACTTCCTGCATAGGGTTATTCATATACTCCTTACGTCGTCCCAAAATTATACTGTATTCTCCAGTATAATTTTGGGACAGAAATAATATATTGAGTTAATAATTAAACCTCTTATATACATCTTACTCACTCCGTTCCATAAACTCATATTGACTATCAAAAATCAATACTCTTTAGAACCTCATCTCAGTATTAAAATGAACTCCTGAGGGACTCATTTCCGATTAGGAGTGTCCAAAAATAAGAATTTTTTTTTAAAAAAAAAAAACTCAATTTGGATAATGATTTCGGAATAAGAAAAGTATTTTCCTGTAAAGATCCTCAAGGAGTGTATTTTAGTTTTGGAGTGAGCTTTTAATGAGTATCAGTTTTTTACAGATGGCATCTAATCCTTCAGGTTAAGCCTTGACCCATGGATTGATTATATAAATTCTTTCACACTAGGCCACTAGCTAGTGTGCAAGATAAAGTTTAATAGCGAGTCAAGTATATGGACGTGCGAGTTTGAGACGTTGGCATATAGCTAGTGATCGGTTCTCCGGGCCAAATGAAGGACTGAACATGTTTTGTACTGCTATTTTTAACAAATATACATGATGTCTTGTACTCATGAATGCCTGAAAAACAAAAGGAAAAATTGGCGGATCTACCTAAAGATTTACATACTTCGTCAATTCTATCTTTTTTTTTTATTAGACAATATTACTCTAAACTATCCAACCGTTAGCTGATTTTGTCCAAGCTATTTTCTGTCTAAATTAACGGAATTCTATTTATTTTAATTATAAAAATACCTTAATAGTTTTAAAAATTTATAAAAATGACCCCAAAAATTTATAAAAATTATAAAATAGTCTATTTTCAGTTTTTATTTAAAATTTTCTGTTTTTTATTTCTTTTTACTATTTTTCATAACTATAAAAATATACTATATGATCTTTTTAAAAAGATATTTGTTTTTACACTTTAATGTACAAATTTTAATTACATATTTGTATGTCATGTTTGATTTACATAAGCACATTAATTTTTTAATAATATGATTTTACAATAATGATACTATTTTTTAATCCATTTTTTTCAATCTAAAGAATAAGATTATTTAACTAATACAAATTTTTCACAAAAAAATTAAACAATTTGCATAGATTAAAAAAGAATCTATTGGTATACTTTAATATATTACAATTTAATTCAACTAACTTGAGATTGTATTTTAAAATTTAAAAAGAAATCAAAACTAAAATATAAATTTTTTTAAAAGGCCAAGTACAGACAGAAAGTTTTAAAAAAACACCTATTTTGTTTCTACGTTGGCCTAACAAAAGAATATAGTGTCGTGGTATTTACAAAAATGGTACAAAATATTTTATAAAAAATATGTATATTTATTACTGTGAGGGTTTAACATATTTTGATAATGTTTTGAGAATTAATATATCTAACTTTAGCAGGAAGTCTTTTTAAAAAAAAAAATAAAAAAAAAAATCTACTCCAGTACAAGACTCCACCTTTTTTTTACATTAAAAAAAATTAGATTTCTCCAGTAAGAATCGAACCTCGAACACAGTTTTAATCATCTCATATCTTAAATCACCTAACCATCTAATGCAACCCTCTTACCTTTAGTGGATCCCACTTAAACGTGGGTAAAATCACTCTCTCGGTTAGAAATACTTTAGTGACAATTAATCTTATATCTACTCTCATGAAACTTAACATCCTAAACACTAGACAGTACACTATATTTTAATTTAATAATTTTTTTAATTGGATAATACAATCTATAGTCTGTTTAGTTAATTTACAATAAATTAAAATGTACTAATATATATTTTTTTAATCTATGCTAAATGTTTTTATGTTTTGTAAAAAATTAGTTTTAGTAAAAAAAAATCTTATTCTTTAAATTGAAAAAGACGGATTAAAAGAATAATATCATTATTTTCTAGCCATATTATTAAAAAAATTAATATGTTTATGTAAACCAATCATGAGTTACAAATTGTATATCTATAAATTTGTACTGTAGTGTTTAAAAATAAATTATTTATTTAAAAGATCATATAGTATATTTTTATGGTTATGAAAAATAGTAAAAAGAAATTAAAAAAAATGTAAATAAAAACTAAAAAGAGACTATTTTATAATTTTTGTAAATTTTTGGGGTTCTTTTTATAAATTTTTAAAACTATTAGGGCATTTTCGTAATTAAAACAAATAGAATTTTGTTAATTTAGACGGAAAATAGTAAATTGGAAAAAATCGGCTAACGGTTGGATAGTTTAGGGTAATATTGGCTAACCGAAAAAGAATAGGGTAGAATTGACGACGCATGTAAAGCTTTAGGTAGATCTGCCAATTTTTCCTAAAAAAAAAATACTACTCCCTTTTGTCCCAAAATTATTGTCCAGTTTGAGATTTTACTTTTAGTATATTTTGAACTAAAAATAAAAATTCATACCAGACAATAATTATGAGACGGAGGTAGTACAAAACTAAAGCTGAAGTAATTCAAAAATTATTAGAAGAAAAGGTCAATTCAAGTTGAAGTATATTGTTATTTTTATATATTTTAGGGGTTATTTTTAAAATTTTAAAAATTACTGGGATATTTTTGTAATTAAATTTATTATTTTATTAAAAACTAACGGATATTCGTTAATTTCGACAGAAAATGGGCCGACGAAGTTAGCAAAAATTTCAAACATTAGGCTAAAGTTAGCTAACTAAAAATCTATTGGATATAATTAACGACAAGGATAAAGTTTAGGATAAAAACGACATTTTTTCCCTGGTGAAAATTAGTTTCTATCTTTAAAGATAAAAGAGATGCTTCTCATAATAACTTACTCCGAGGGTGTTCCATTATTTTTAAAATGACAAGATTCCTAGGTGGAATCATTGTCAAAGCTATTTAAAAAATTCTTCATGCACATAATACGTGCCTTGATGAAACATGCAGTTGTGTTAAATTCACATAAAATAATGAGATGGCCTTTCTCCTACCGGGCACAAAAATTATGAGAAACTCTATTGTGGAACAGAATACATTATTGGAAGATGACATTTCAACGCCATTCAAATTCTTTTTAGAATTACACTATTTCGACTGAGACAAAAAATTGATGTTAGGTTGTCTCTCAAAGATAATCTATTTGGCTCGAATCCAGATTAATCGAAACAATGTTATTAAATGTGTAATATACCAAAAATATTTGATGTTAGATTTTTTCTTTTTTAATGTATGAATTGTTTTGGAAATCGTATAAATATTCCTCCATTTAAATTTTTCGCTTTGGTTCAAGTTATATTTCAAACATAGTAATGCAGCTATTTCAAAATAGTTATAAATGTTAGAAATAAATGAATGTCAAAAATGTCAAAGACATTCACCTACTGAATGTTTACATTAAATGTAAAAGTAGAAAATTGAGCATTGTTGTCTGTCAAATTTGCCTATAAAAAAGAATGCTCAAGCAATGAAAAAATTGCACCGAATGAATTATTTTCTTCCTCCTATTTTCTTTTGTTCAAAGAGTAAAAATTATTCGAATTTTATTTTCTTCTTAAATCTTATAATCTCATAATATATAAATTATTAGAAAGCTGTTATAGTAAAGTCTCAAGTAGAGAAATTATATCATATCTAATTAAATAATAAGTACCTTTGCTTTGGATCATTGTATTTAGACCCTAGTTTTATAACACGTTATCAGGACGACGTCTCTGCAATCCACAAAGGTGTAAAATTTCTTATTCAGTATTTACATTTCATATGGATGGTTCTATAATACTTCCTCATTTATGTTCAAGTCATTTAAATTCTTTCAATTTATTTAAAGATTTGTCCTTTCTCATGTCTTGAGTTTTATTTTTATAGTGGGATGATTTAATATGTCCCTACGTAAATATTTATATAATTTACATTCTTGTGGGATGACTTCATATATCCCTAATGCATTTATTTTCATATCTTTATTTAGATTTTCACGGTGGGATGTTTTTCTATGTCCCTATATACTATATCTAATCTATGATGGAATGATTGATAAATCCCTACTTTAATTATTTGTCTCTAACAAATTGTTTATTTTCAATTTAATTGAGTGTACAATAAAAATATATATCCTCATTCAATTATTACTTAGTTGTTTTATCTTGATTTATTTAAATTTTAACAATTATATATGTATAAATATAATTATACTTTTACATATAAAAATACGTATATAACAACTCTTTTTAACGGATATATTAACGGCTATATAACGGTCAGAATTTTAAATTTTCTCTATAAATACATCATTTCTAAATCTCATTTACATACCTTCATAATATTCTCCTTCTTTCTCTTCTTATTTTCTAAGAAAAATGTCTTTCATTTCTCTCTTTAGCATGATAATAGTTAGTATATATATTGTTATGATATTTTATCTAGAAAAACCCGATGATTTTATTTTTCATTTAGGAGTTCTTATAATGTGTATTTTACCACTATACTTCATTGCTATATTTACTGAATAAATTATTTTATCGAAAATTGTGTTTCTTTTGTGTTTTATTTAGCTGAAAAATATCTTCGAATTTGTCAAAGCTCGAAGTCGAAGTTCTTAAACACACAGGAACAAACTAACTGTCATGAAAAACAGATGTGGAAAGCCATCTGGAATCAAAAGGACTTTCGAAAACTATACGTCCTGATAATACTGAATCTCCACAAAATAAATTAAATGCGATTATATTTATTCGCAAAAATAGTGATGACGGTGTGAAATCTGGTTATATAAACGTCACAGATCCTTTTGTTATTTGGAAGGATCTTAGTGCAAGATTTGATAACAGGAAAGAAATGTTGTTAAATATTGCTGATGAAGAATGGAGAGCACTTAGATTTCAAGACTTTAAAAAAGTTAAAGAATATAATTTAACAATGTTTAAAATTGTTTC